TTTTTTTTTCAAATTAACGTGAGCTATCTTTTTAATCTGCTTCATACAAATTATTTCATATAACAATACTAAAATACTGATACCAAATAAGATGAAAAAATTAAAATGTTACAAATGATAATTAAATATTAACATTCAATATTAAAATTACAAAAATTACAATTTTCTAAATTACATGATTGTATAAGATTGTAATAGTATCAGTTATGAGCTTTAGATTTATATTTTAATGTCTTCTTTTCACTTACTATAAGATACTATATTTAGAATCTTACAATTTGCAGTATGAAATTTGAATACCTCTATTCCAGGTGTATTACGATCTTGTAGAGCAGCTAACACATCAGGTCTATTTAAAATTTTGGAGAAAAGCTCTGGGGATTTGTTATCATCTTCATCTTCAACAGATTCCATTTCACTATTATCGCCAACACGCTCTGGGTCAGTTGTCATAGTACTATAATCCAGATTTATTTTTTTTTCTTTCATTAAAAAAAACCATTTGTATAATTGAAAAAAGAATTCTATTAGACAAAAATAGAATACAAAATGAAACAACTTATTAAAAGCTTGAAATAATATTTTTAAATTATTTTCTATATTTTGTAAAAAACATTTATAAAGTAATATATATTTTCTTAGATACTTAATTAAAATATAAATAAACTAATGAACTTTTAGTGCACATACTGTAAACTCATATAATTTGTAATATTAAAAAGACATTAAATGTACGAAAATATTTAATTTTTTTTTTAAGATATGCGCAATATTCTTAATAAAATTACTTCAAATTATAATTAACCAATCATTTCTTTTTATTAACACTTATTTATTTCTAAAGTTGCAGTAAAAAAACTAAAGATAATTACTCGTTTGAAGAGCATATTTCAATCGAATCTTTTCAATTAAATGGAGATCGATATATATTCATGAATGATGTGAAAAAAATCATTGAAATCACATGTATAAACATATAAAAGAAAAGAAAAGAAAAGAGTACGAAATATAAAAAATTTATAGAAAAATAAAGAACGCAAGATCCATCAATCAATCGACAAACGTACTGAAATTGAATTGCACGTTACCATATAAGTCTTTATCAGACGTACATGGCAAATATCGCGAATCTTTTTTTTTAAATGCATGCTTTTGAATGAAACAAATGTTTTTGTAAAAAAGAAAAAAAACATTCACTCGTGACAAATTTCCTTCATTCAGATTAGTTTCTCTATGAACGTTGAACTGACATTTGAAAGTCACCAT